ATTTTTCAGCTTTTGTGTGTGGGGGTGGTTGATATACCTTTTTAAATCCTTTGAAGTGTTTTCTGTAGTGTGTAGTTGATCTGCTAATTTCAACCCTTTGATGTGTTTTTATAATTGTGTAGTTAATCTACCTATTGGAGCCCTTTGATGTGTTTTTGTGAATGTGTAGTTAATCTGCATGTTGTAGGCCTTTGATGTGTGTTCTATGAGTGTGTAGCCGATCTACCTACTTACTCAACCCATAGATGTGGTGTGTTGAGAACACTTCTAGAGCACGTTTCATGCCAAGAAAATACAACCCACCAATTACCCCACATTGAACAATCGTATCTTGTTCAGTCTTTCCTTTGTTCAACAATTTTGTTCGTGTTCCTTCGTGCGATCAGTTTTTTTAAAACAAACTTAAAGCAAAATCCAAATTAGCATAAATTAGCATGTTGAGAACGAAAAAAAGAAGCCAGCTCAAAGACAGATCATTCTCTTTGTTGAATGTTAATTAGTAATTACCGAATTTTTTAAAGGGGGAGGGATCACTCTATTAACACGTTTGCTCTTCAGTTATTGCATTGGCGTTATTTGAACACGTTTCTTTTAATATATTTTAACACTCCGTAAAAACTAATTATGTACCAAGTTAATTTTCAAGTGAGTAGGCATTGTGCTATTTAATACTTAATTAGCTGTTAAAAAAGCAGTTATACTCGTGATCGTCACCCCCGAAACCCCTTTCAGACTAAGATTACGGTGTAAAAATTACAGTTGCATGTAAAACATGTTATATAATTAGCTTGTTAATCAATATTAATAAGCATACCATATTAAATTGTATAACTATTGCAATCAAACATTAGTTAAAAACCACCGAGTTTAAACGTTAAAATTGTAATCATTTTCCGTCATAACTATCCGTTTACTATCGCGTCTAAACTTGAAATTACAAAGGCATTCCACAATGACGGGAACCACGTGATATATAATCAATTTTAATGTACAGGCATATACTGTAACATTAAAACACTCCATGGTACCATCATTTTATTAAAGTATCTATTTTTATGTCTTTATATGCCACCCCATCAATCTACTATCCCCACCATTCAACCATCCCTATCATTTAACCATCCCCATCATTTAACCATCCCCATCATTCAACCATCCCCATCATTCTACCATCCCTATCATTCAACCATCCCCATCATTCTACCACCCCCATCATTTAACCATCCCTATCATTCAACCATCCCCATCATTTAACCATCTCCATCATTTAACCATCCCCATCATTTAACCATCCCCATCATTTAACCATCCCCATCATTTAACCATCCCCATCATTTAACCATCCCCATCATTTAACCATCCCCATCATTCTACCATCCCCACCATTCAACCATCCCCATCATTTTACCATCCCCACTTTGACCCGTAGATTCCATTCACCCCGACACCTACGTACGCGCTGACCTATTCTTCTTATGATTGAAACTCGCAGGGGGGGGGGGGGGGGGGGATAAACGAAATGAACAACCCCCCATCTCCTCCCCCCCCCCCTCAGGAGAAGGAGGCGTCAGCTAACACTGGGGGAGAAAGTTGCCTCTATTATTTTTCATGTCCCTCTTTTCACCCCGGGGACATCTCCCCCGGGGGTGGCTGTCATGTACCGCTTAGAAAAATGTAAAGGAGTCCATTTTCTTGACGCTATTGTGCATCTGAGCCTAGGAGAGAAAAAAATGGCGTTGGCTTAAGACAGGGGGGGGGGATGGGGGTTCGGATCACAATCTTTAACACTCTAGAATTAACACTGCAAGTACATTATTTATTTATTTTTCAAACCTAGGAGTATTACTAGAATTTATTTATTTTTTGCTTACTTTTCCGTTTAGAGGTGCCACGAACCAATGTTAAGAATCCGAAGGATGACGTAAAGATAATAATTTTAGGGATACTTGTCAGTGATATTAATTTATTAAGGCTACTATTCGTTTAATTATAGAACAAATGTGCCTAATTTTAGCAAAATTTTACCTTATATTATGTTCTTAATCATATTTTAAGCATGTCTTTTAACGAGTTTAAATTCCGAGGCTTATTTTAAGTAAATCGTCAACCTGTTACATCCTAGCACTGTACACATTAACAGTACAGCTAACATTGACTGTATTTATTATATAGCTCGGGGCGTCCTACCCCAACACACTTCTCAGCGACGCCATTGTTTTATTTACATAACTTTAGATACGTACATTTATTAAATACTGAGCAATCTTCATGTATACTATACATGAAGATTGCTCAGTATTTTATATGTATAGTTTTTAGCGTTAAACTTTAACCATTGCGCATGCGCCAATGTTTCCTCTCGTGTCGTGACATCATTGCCGTACAAATCCTCTGTACGTGTTGAAACTCTGACCAGAGGTGCGTTAACAGAATGAATATGCAAATCAAATCTCCTCGGTGATCGAACACGGGTTTGTGTGTGGGGGACGGGGGGATGGCGGGGGGGATATTAGTCACATTTGCATAACGGTGCGGGTCGGCCGTGACCTCTGACAAGCTGTCAATCATCAGCTTCACCTGAAGCGTGCCGCGATCACCCCCCCCCCCCCCTGTGAAAATCACCTGTGAGGTATAAGAAAGGTGGGCACCAGGTGAACTGATGCGTGTGTGTCTGGATGACATTTGGCCTGTTGTTTATTGAACGGTACAACCCTCTGGTGAAGGATTCATCATTAGAGAACTTAATGATAATTTAACATTTAAAATTGGCAGAGTTTACATACCTTTTTAATTCAGTTTAATAGTAATTATACATTTTTATTTAGTTCAATAAAATTATAATTTAAAATAGCGATTTGTTCTAAATTTATGAAAAAATACAAGACACATTCACGGCCGCTATCAAGCAATGTTTCTTCTGCTACAATAACAATATGTCTTTTCATTTATTTAACACTTTCTATAGCATAGTAAAATTAATGTCACACCAGGAGTTTCGAAAATCCAGTGTAACATCAGAATGGAAGCTGTTTTTTTTTTAAATAAAATCTCAAACTAATTTTGAAGCATTTACTTATTTTAAACGAAATAGAGCTCTCCATTATCTGGAGTGCAATACTTGAAAGCGAGACAACCTTCTAATCCTTACCCTCACCACGGCGCCCCACCCCCCTGCTGTTTCACCTAACACCGTCAACTGCTCTGTTGTTAGATCCAAAATTACCTGTTTGATGTTTTTCAACGAACCTCGGGGGAAAACCCAGCGTGCAGGTTTGACGAAGACATTTGGCTGAACATTGACGTGTTATGTTCGTGTCGGTCGGGTAATGACAGATGATTCAAGTTTGACAACTCCATCAAAATAAGGCGCGGACGTACAGGAGTGACGGGTGATCATAGCTTCAAGCAGTCAGCGCACCGATCGGACACCTACAATCATTAGATCACCATACTAGTAGTCACCTACAATTATTAGATCACCTACCTTTAGTCACCTACAATCATTAGATCACCACATCAGTAGTCACCTACTATAATTAGGTCATCACACCAGTAGTCGCCTACAATCGTTAGATCACAAAACCAGTATTCGCCCACAATCATTTGATCACCATACTATTAGACACATAAAATCATGAGACCACCATAGTCTCCTACAATTACTAGTTCACCATACCAGTAGTCACCTACTATCATTAGATCACAAAACCAATAATCACCTACAATCACCGCACAACTTCTACTTATGCTGAGGTGAAATAAACAGCCTAACTCTACTTCAACTGCCTGTTGAAGACAGCGAGGGTACATACGCTTTTACGTTTTTCTGTTAGAGGGGGGGGGGGGTTGAGGTCGTACATTATTGAGCAGCAAGTTGATGTATTGGTACAGTTGGGATCGATGTGATGTGTCAGTACAGTTGGTATCGATGTGATGTATTGGTACAGTTGGTATCGATGTGCTGTACATTTGGGATCGATGCTTGTGTTGGTACAGTTGGTATCGATGCTTCTGTCAAAGTTCGCTTTCCGCCCTGCTGCACCTTACGCCCTTTAGAGCAATGGCCTGTGATCAAAAGACATAGCGGGTAGATCGTCCCCCATTCCTTTCTGCTACTAGCAACATCACTCCTCAACTACTTTTTTTCTTTGACTCTTTCACCACCCAGTACCATTAGCAACTCCTGCATCATTTTCTACAAAATGCAGCCCCCCCCCCCCCATTTTCCAACACCATTACACCATGCTGCATGCAGTACAACACACCTGCGACAGTTAATTTAGTTCGACCCTGCGACAGGTAATTACGTTCGACCCTGCGACAGGTAATTAAGTTCGACCCTGCAACAGATAACTATGTTTGACCCTTTAACTTCTAATTACGTTCGACCCTGCGACCTGTAATTAAGTTCGAGCCTGCAACAGGTAATTAAGTTCGACCCTCCAATAAAAACCAAACACATCTCGCGAGTCCTTGATTGGGTCCGATGACTGCCATTGGTGTCCTGGTGTCACGTGATTGAAAGGTCGTTCACCCCTTGTAATCCCTTGAGTCTGTGTCTTGGACATGTTCCTGTGGACTACACCAGCCCTCGATGCCACTTGCGAGTGCCGATAAAAAAAAATGCGTGTACACGTTTGGTAGTGAAAGTTTTCACAAGATTAGTTATTTCAATAGGGATAGCCATACCATCGAGCTTGTCAGGATTTAAGCTTTAATCTTTTACTAAAAAATTGTCATGACCTGGAAGAAGAAGATATTAAGAAGATTGGATACATCTGGGGACAGTTGGAGAGACTAGCCCAGGATAGAGATGCCTGGAAAGCTCTTGTCAACGGCCTATATCCCAGGAGGGGCGACAGGCGAACCTAACCTATCCTACAGAATTGTCACCCATTTAGACTTTGTATTGTCGAGTTAACGATTTCTTAAGGCCAATGTAAACACTGTTTAAACTTCCTTTCAATGTATGCTTTATTTACACGCTTTTTTATTTACAGAGAAAGATCTATTCAGAACGATGAATTCTTGTACCCAGTAACCCACACAAAGGTACACATTTTTTGGATGTTTCTCCAATGACAGAATTGGTCATTTCGTTTGGTCATCAATCAGTACTCTGACAATTATCAAGATTGATAACTCTTGAAAAAAAAAATTTACACCGTCATGGGCAAACAACTCGTCTTCGTCTTGGGGTTCATATTGGCCCTGACGTCACCGGTGACGTCACAGAACCTGGAGGTGGAGTACAGCATCCCCGAGGAGCGGCCCCAGATGTACATCGGCAACCTGCTGACCGACCTGGGCCGGGCTGTCCAGACACGCAACCTCCAGGATCTGAGGTTCAACTTCATGACGGCGGGGAACCCCCACGCCGCTTACCTGTGGCTCAACGCGACCAACGGGGACTTGAAAACTGCGTCCAGGTATGTCCGTGTCCACAGTGTAACTTATTCTGTGTTTTGAATTCAATTTGTTAAAACACCCTTAGTGCCAGATATCTTAGCATTGTAGGTGTTAATCTCATTTGCGTCCGGTTCTTGTTTTACACTCGACGCCTATACTTATCTAAATGAGCCAACTCAGCTATATTGGGTACCTGGCATCAATCGGAAGAAAAAACTATGCTGTTTATCCAATGGACCCTATAATCTATGTGTTCTTTAGAGCACACAATTTCACACCAACTTAGTATTTAAGAAATGATTTCTTTAAATAGTTTTTTTTTTACTTTTATTTTTAATTACGCTTCTGACATTATTTGTATAGGGTTGTATCACTTATCTCTTCAGGTCATGAAATTATTTGTATAATGATGTATCACCTATTAGTTCTTAACCTCCTGAAATTATTTGTATAATAATGTACCACCTGTTATTTCTTCCAGAATCGACCGTGAGAGCGTGTGCCGCAACATGATCACGTGCGAGCTGCGCGTGCAGACGACCGTGCAGGATGACCGGGGGACGTTCCTCATCATCGTGCTGGTCAAGGTCACCATCACCGACATCAACGACAACCCGCCCGTGTTCAACCCGTCAACCCAGACCCTGAAGATCGCAGAGGACGCCCTGCCCGGGTACACCCAGAGCATCCCTACGGCCACCGATCTCGACATGGGCCCTGGCAACTCTATCGTCTCCTACACCCAAGTCGTGGGCTCCGCCCCTTTTACTCTAGTCGTCAACGGCAACTCTGCTTCGTCGTTCGATCTCAAGCTTCGTCTGGACGAGCCCTTAGACCGGGAAACCGTCCCGTTCTACAAAGTCCTGATCCAAGCTATCGACGGCGGGACCCCTCGTCAAACCGGGACCTTGACCGTTAACATCGACATCGATGACGTCAACGACAACGCCCCGGTGTTTGAGTTCGGGAAATATTCTTTCAATGTGTCGGAGAGTTTGGGCGTCAACTCTGCCGTGGGGACGGTCCGGGCGACGGATAAGGATGTGGGACTGAACGGAGCCGTGAGGTATACAGTGGACTCCTCGCAGACGGACCTGGAGGTGTTTCTGATGTTTAGCATGAATCCGGAGAGTGGGGAGATTCGAACCCTGCTGCCTCTGGATAGCTACGCTGGGAGAACCTACAGGTATGTTATCTATAAATAGGTTGCCTCATTAGAATAGAGTTTAATCATTATATTTGTTTAATTTATTTTAGTGTTAACTTAAATTATAAAAAACAGGTTATTGTTGTCCCGTTAAAATTAGAAGAATACGAAACTTCCATACTTGTATTTTGTGAGACGGAGTGGCCTAGCGGTAGAGCGCTAGACTGCTAACCCGAAATTATCGAGTTCGAATCCGTGTTTCAAGGTAGTAGAACGCCCCTGAGTCCACCCAGCTCTAAAGGGTACCTAACTCACGTTAAAGAAAGTAAAGGCGGCTGGGCATAGTGCTGACCACTCCTTCCCTTCATAAGCCGAAGTCAAGAAACATAAACTCTACTACATTTGCCCAATGGAGGAATCTATATACTTGTAATTTAAAATTAAAAGAAACCCACTTTATTTTACAAATGTCAAATATTTCAGTTATTGAGTTCAGAAAAAACAATTCAATTCATAGATGATCGATGCATAAGTTCTATTTAAACTTTGAAAAAAAAATTTCATCTCACAAAGTGTTAAAATAAGACTAAACTTAATGAATATTAGTTTACCGCATTTTTCAAAATACGAGACAAGCGCGCGCCATGATAAATTACATCAAAGTATAATTTCTATTGACCAACGATCTCATTTTCTGATGTCTGGTCAAGATATTTTCTCGTAAGATCAATATTATGATCGATGGATCTTACTTTCACTCGCTAACAGATTAGTCTATTACATCTCGCGAGACCATTCATTAATGAGATGAAAGGGGAAATCACTCCCATCATATCTGACGTATATTAAAAAATCAAGCCTCTTACAAAAAAACATCGATTGTACAAGAGTATTTTTCTAGCATCCTTACTACACCATGCTCTCCATTCCTAGTTCTAGTCGTGACCCTAATCCTGACCTTAACCCAGACCCGTATTCTAAGCCAGGCCGTAGTATCCATGACCCTAATCCTAATCCCAACCTGACCCGAACAGCAATACCGGCAGAATTTTAAAAAATCGATACAATACTGTTTTGTTTTATCCGCGTTTTATTATTTTAAAAAAAAATGTTTGTTAAAAAAGCGAGCCAAACAATAAGATGATTATTTGATCCTAATGATGTAATCCTAATTATTTGATTCCAATGATGTAATCCTAATTATTTGATTCCAATGATGTAATCCTAATTATTTGATTCTAATGATGTAATCCTAATTATTTGATCCTAATGATGTAATGCTAATTATTTGATCCTAATGATGTAATGCTAATTATTTGATCCTAATGATGTAATGCTAATTATTTGATCCTAATGATGTAATCCTAATTATTTGATCCTAATGATGTAATGCTAATTATTTGGTCCTAATTATGTAATGCTAATTAATTGATCCTAATTATGTAATGCTAATTATTTGATCCTAATGATGTAATGCTAATTATTTGGTCCTAATTATGTAATGCTAATTAATTGATCCTAATTATGTAATGCTAATCACCAGACTGACCGTTATAGCCCAGGACTCGGACATCTCGCCCAAGAAGGACCGGACAGAGGTGGACATTAGTGTCCTAGACACACAGAACAGCGAGCCGAAAATTGTCCTCAATGTCATCGGTGGTTCTGGTTCAGGCACAGGTGAGTGGACGGGCAGATGTCATTTGAGCGGTTAGATGTCATGCGTACCGGCAGATGTCATTTGAGCGGTTGGATGTCATGCGTACTGTCAGATGTCATTTGAGCGATTAGATGTCATGCGTACAGTCAGATGTCATTTAAGCGGTTAGATGTCATGCGTACAGTCAGATGTCATTTGAGCGGTTAGATGTCATGCGCAGTCAGATGTCATGTCAATGTACATTCAAATGTCACATGTAGTGTCAAATGTCATGTGTGCGGCCAGACGGCCTAATTCATCTGTACCGTAAAATGTCATTTGCACCTGCTGATGTCATGTGGTCCATGATATGTCATGTGAAGCTATGGACTTAAGTCTGAAATTTTATCTAAGCATCAACCAAGATTTTGTTTTATTTGTCTCTAAGAAATATTACGCAAATGATAGATTATCTTCATTTAATTAACTTTAACTCTGTACAGTAAACAAATTCAAGTGCTATACATTTCTCGAGCTAATTACAACGTTAAGCACAACGGTCTATTATTAAATACAGCTCCATTGAGAGTTGAATGTAAATTTGAAGCTATTGAACAACACAGGAATGTTTAGATGGTGGTAGGACAACGCTCTACATCTTATCCTCTAAAAACATACGCAAAGTTTGTAGGAGACACAACCTAAGCCCACCCATCCAACACACTTGAGATCTAAAAACTACACAAAAAACTCACCGGAATGTGAAAGCTATCACAATTCCTCAGATGATCGTTACCGGGGGTAAATTTTCTAAAACGGGAGTCGACTCACACGGGCGCGCTAATTAACAATGATATTTTTCCCATCGGTCTACTAGAGACATTTGCCATCGCCCTCTCCTTACCACCGTTACTTCTATTCATTGCCGCCTCCTTATGGCCATTACAGTTATTCATTGCTGTTTTCAATCGCACTCTCTTATCATTTGTGTCCACACAATTCAGTTGAATTAGTCGTTGCATTTGTGGTCGTTTATGTCGCTGTTTTTCGAAGAAATATTGGTCGTTGTTTAAACGTTGTAGCGATCGTTGCATTAATAGTTGTATTAGTCTTTGTTTTAGTCGTTGTTTTACTCGTTGGATAACTCGTTGTATTAGTCGCTTTATAAGTCGTTGTATAAGTTGTATTACTCATTGTATTTGTCGTTCTATTAGTAGTTGTAGTAGTCGTTGTATTACTCATTGTATTAGTCGTTGTATTACTCATTGTACATGTCGTTGTATTAGATTTTCAGCATCACTCCGGCACATAATCAGTCTCGCGTGGAACAGATTTCACGTGAATTTGAGATACTGGAAATTATTGATGTATTTCTGACCTCGCCGGTCTTATTCTATCTCTTTATCAACCTTTGCAGTATAAAATAGGACAATTCTATTCAATGGCGTCACAATGGAACCCCTCCCCTACTCCGACAAACGCACATAAATATACTATAACGTTTTAAAAATAAACAAACGCAATTAGCTGGTGATTAAAAAACTAAAATACAACACACTTACGTAGAGAAAAAAAAAGTTCTTTGTTTTTAAAAGATTAGACAACCTGTTTTTCTTAAAGTGGTGGTTAGAGTGACCTCCCATGTAGAAAAACAATTGCCGCCCTTGTTTTCTGTATACCTCGTCTCTCCCATCCTCCATCCCGTACCATTCCCTCAATCCCATACCATTCCCTCAATCCCGTACCATTCCATCAATCCCGTACCATTCCCTTAATCCCGTACCAATCCCTCAATCCCGTACCATTCCCTTAATCCCGTACCATTCCCTTAATCTCGTACCATTCCCTTAATCCCGTAGCAATCCCTCAATCCCGTACCATTCCCTTAATCCCGTATCATTCCCTTAATCCCATTCCATTCCCTCAATCCCGTACCATTCCCTTAATCCCGTACCGATTCCTCGATCCCGTACCATTCCCTCAATCCCGTACCATTCCCTCAATCTCGTACCAATCCCTCAATCCCGTACCATTCCCTCAATCCCGTACCATTCCCTCAATCTCGTACCAATCCCTCAATCCCGTACCATTCCCTCAATCCCGTACCAATCCATCTGTTTTCAGCCTACGTCTCAGAGGTTGTGGAGGTGGGGCGGGTGGTCGCCATCTTGTCCGTCTCTGACCCAGATTCCAACATGACGGCCAACGGCCAGGTCACGTGTGCTCTAAACAGCCACCAGTTCCAGCTGCAGGCCATGGACGTCAACCAGTACAAGGTCATGCTGACCCGGAGACTGGACCGAGAGAACGTGGCCTATCATAAGTGAGTGTCTACCCCATACACACATACATATACACATACACACACACGTAGCCTATCATAAGTGAGTATCTACCCCATCCTCCCTCACACACATATACACACGTAGCCTATCTTAAGTTAGTGACTACCCCCCTCCATCACACACACATATACACATGTAGCCTTTCATAAGTGTCTACCCCTCCCCCACCACACACATAGCCTATCATAAGTCAGTCTACCCCCCCCCCCAAACTCCACACACACTCATTAGCTATAAGCTAGTTTTTATAAATTTTGTAAAGGCTATACCTCCACATTTCAAAATTATATTTAACGTCTACACTACAACACTTTTGATGACTAATTAAATTGTCTGGCAGTATAATGACTAATTAAATTGTCTGGGGCAGTATAATGACTAATTAAATTGTCTGGCAGTATAATGACTAATTAAATTGTCTGGCAGTATAATGACTAATTAAATTGTCTGGCAGTATAATGACTAATTAAATTGTCTGGCAGTATAATGACTAATTAAATTGTCTGGCAGTATAATGACTAATTAAATTGTCTGGTAGTATAATGACTAATTAAATTGTCTGGCAGTATAATGACTAATTAAATTGTCTGGCAGTATAATGACTAATTAAATTGTCTGGCAGTATAATGACTAATTAAATTGTCTGGCAGTATAATGACTAATTAAATTGTCTGGTAGTATAATGACTAATTAAATTGTCTGGCAGTATAATGACTAATTAAATTGTCTGGCAGTATAACAGTCGACTGCGCCGACGCTGGTACTCCGTCCCTCCACACGTCTGCGAATTTCAAGGTCGAGGTCATGGACGATAACGACAACGCCCCCGTGTTCGAGTCCGCTTTCTACACAGCGGAAGTGACGGAGGGGTCCACGGATGTAGAGAGGTAAGGGAGCGCACTCTAAGATATCATTTTAAATTTCAAGTTATTTAGACCCGGAACTGGGCAAATGTAAAAAATACAGAAGAAAAGTTGGGTTTTTTTTAAAGACAAATCGGTATAGATAGAACATCGCTCTACATCAGCAGAATAAATAGAACATTGCTATACATCAGCACCAATTTGTTAAGATAAACGACATTGCTAGATATCTGACTAGTAGAACTGACTGGAGGACGTGGTCGACTGGTAGAGTTCTCGACTGCTAGCCTGAAGGTATCGAGTTAGGATCTCGGTCCGGCCTAGAGCGCCAGTGAGTCTACCCAACTTTAGGGAAAGTATTGTTACTGACCACACGATCTCTTCATATGCTGATGAGAAAAAAACATGTAAACTCTACTTCATCTGCTTTACGAAAACGGATTTGTACTGACTTTACACCTACTTGGTGTTTTGTGAAGACGCTCATTTTTAATATTAAATTTAAATTCAGAAATATTTGTCTTGTAATTTTACAAGACGATTTTGAAATAATTCACTATTCACAATAACAGTAGCGGAGAAATTAAGACATTAACAAATTCTAAATATGCAATTACCGTAAACGAAAATCAAAAACATAATTAAGTAAGATAAACTATATCCATGTTGTATTTTTTTATATATTTATATTTCATACGTTTTTTTTAAAATAAAATCCTTTCCACAGAAGCCTTATCCAAGTTCACGCCATAGATTTGGACGCCGGGGTCAACGCCCAGCTGAGCTACGAAGTTCAAGGTGACTCGGACTTTGGTGTCAACAGCGAGGGGTTCATCTTCGTGGCCAACCCTAACGGGGTGGACAGGGAGGACAGGGTCAGGGGCGCCAAGCGGGAGCTGACCGTGGTGGCCGTGGACCACGGCACCCCGCCCCTCTCCGGGAGCACGACCGTGGTGCTCACCATCCGGGACGTCAACGACAACCCGCCCGTCTTCTCGCAGACGGCGTACAGTCTGGAAGTGCCGGAGAACTCCGCGTACGATCTGTCCATCGGCAGGGTGTCGGCCACCGACGCCGACCGCGACACCAACGCCATCTTTTATTTCAAGATGGCGCCCGGGTTCTCCAGCAAGGTGCCTTTTGAAATCGGCCTTGACGGGAGTGTTCGGGTCGCCGGTGACCTTGACAGAGAGCGGACACCTAGTTATAGTTTCAAGGTCATCGCTTATGACCTTGGTGAACCTGTATCGCTGTCCTCCACGGTGAACGTCTCAGTTAAAATCAAAGACGTGAACGACAACAGCCCAGTTTTTACGTTCCCTAAAGACGACAACATCACCCTCTCAGTCCCACACACTCTGGGTTCGAATACCGCCTTCGCCAAAGTCGATGCCAGTGACGCCGACGAAGGTAAGAACGGCGCGTTGGAGTTCACGGCCGAAAGCGGAAACGGGACTCGGTTCTTCGACATCGTCTCCGGCTCCGGTCAAGTCGTGTTAATCCGACCTTTGTCCGTCAACGAAATCGGGCTCCACGTCATCAATATCGTTGCTCACGATTTAGGCTACCCCTCCGAAATGTCCACGCAAGCCGTGCTCCACATTTTAGTCTACGAAGGCAACGCCACTGTATCCGCGCAAGACAATGGACTCGGTTTCAGGAACATTGTTGTCGTGGCGATCCTGGTCGTGGTGACGGTGGTTCTGTCCCTCATCATCATGCTGACCATCATCCTCATCAGAAGAGTGGACAAACAGCGGCGGCTCTACCACGCCAAAGTCGAAGAAACGAAAGTGGAGGCGAATCTCAAAGACATGTTCCAGTGCCCCACTGAGGAGACGGAAATCCCTAGCGGCGCGCCTGACCTGACTGGGGATATTAAAGACGGCGGCAAGAAGAAAAAGGAAGTGAGTTTCTCTTTGGATGAGGACAACAACATCAACCACCCACCAACGTTGACGACATTCAGCCCCGCCCCCACAGACAAGTATGACCTGATCCCAGAGAAAGACAGAGGAAACATCAAAGTGAGTTTAATTTAATTTTAGTTTTGAGTGGTAAACGTTACATGGTGTGTTTGCAGTGGTTAATTTACACAGTTAAGTTGGCATTGTATGTCAAAATCTAGCCACTGTTTTAGATTCACTGAATGAATGGGCTCAAAGTAAGTAGTACGTCAACTAGTCTACAGTCATCTAATGGGTACTTGAATTAAGGAAAGTAAAGGCGGCGGGGGCATAGATTCAACCACACTATCCCTTCAAATGTCGAAGTCACGGGAACAGATAAACTCTACTTTATCTGCATCATTGTCCATCAGGTCTGAAGGACCTCCGGATACAAAGTCACAAATATATGTCTTAACAAAAGTGTGCACAGATACCAATCTTAAATAAATCTATTTAGCAGGGTTTTTAATTTTAAATTATGAACATGATAAGGCTACTTTGAACAGCAGATTAATCCGTCGGTTTAATTTCGATTGGAACTTAACTTTTGATACTGAGTTTTTATAGAATGTTAACATAAAAACAAAAAGCATATTCCAAATATCGCTAACAAACAACATTGTAGAGAAATGTAGGCTTCAAAAAATTCCCGTACATTGTAGATTAATATAAATTGCGAATATTACATAATTTTTACACAACATTCGTTCTATTGTTGTTTTAAATTTCCTAACCATTAATTACACAAATTTTGTTTTTTTTTAACCTAGGAAAATTTCCAAATTACCGAAATTCCGTATTTAATAACGCATGCGCAGATGCTACGGAATTTTACACATATCAAAGCAGAACCCATGTGTTTTAAAGAATTTGCTCATTTTAAAAAATGCCACAAGCAATAAAAATTATAACCTGGAATTCTGCGCTGAAACAAATAAGTTAAATTATTTCCAGCATTTGTTCTCTGCTCCATAATGGGATACGACACGACTCATTTTCACAGCCAATGATATTCTTTCTGCCAACAGTGTGACCCGTTGTCTAGCAACCATTACCAGGCCGACAGACAGGCCAAGGCCGTCTCAAAGAAGGACATCAGCAACTTCAACTTCCATCAGGTGCACCCGACTGTCGGCACCACCTTCAAAAACCGACAGGTGAGTCACCCCACCCCTTCTTACTGCCTCTGTCCTACACACGCATGATAATTTAGAATGACTTGTATTGAATGTGATTCTAATTTGCGGTTTGATTTTAATTATTTTTTTATGCTTACCGTACTAGATCTAGACAGTTTTAATAATGATTACTAACGAAGCCTAAAGTTGTTTTTTTTTTTTTTTTTTTTTTTTTTTTTTTTTTTTTTTAATATTATAACGGCTGATACAAATTTTCGCATGGTAACTAATACCCACTGATTTATTTGCATTCCAATTATATTCCTCACTTGCATTGGCTTTATGATCTAGACTAATCTAGAGTGCTGTAAATACAAATCTTATAACTTATTCTCTGTGGAAATTTCCGATTTCAATTTTTATATTTCCATAAACCAACACCCCCATCTCTCACCCCCCCCCTACATCGTCCCCACCCCCTAACCATGGATTGAATTCGTTAGATCAATAGGACAATGCCGACTCTGGTTAATGACTAATATAAAACACAATCTAAATGTAAATTGGGATAAAAATAGAACAGTCGCTTTTGGGGAAGAAATCTTGGATTGCAGAGATTTTTTTTTTGGTCAGTGTCGGTTTCTCTAACTGTCATTCATTCTTCATCTTCAAGAACAACATGTCAGCTCACAATCACGATGACAACCTGAGTGACGTCAGTGCTGATGTCAGTACCAGTGACAGTGGCAGGGGCGGAAGTGACGTGGAGCTACAGAGTGGGACGTCTAAAGATTCAGGTATGAGGGTCACACGGGAACTTTGTCTTGTGGTACATGGTGCTAGAGACGGCAGGACATTTTAGTGCTAGAGACGGCAGGACATTTTAGTGCTAGAGACGGTAGGACTTTTTAGTGCTAGAGACGGCAGGACTTTTTAGTGCTAGAGACGGCAGGACTTTTTAGTGCTAGAGACGGCAGGACTTTTTAGTGCTAGAGACGGTAGGACTTTTTAGTGCTAGAGACGGCAGGACTTTTTAGTGCTAGAGACGGCAGGACTTTAGAGTTTAGTGCTAGAGACGGCAGGACTTTAGAGTTTAGTGCTAGAGATCTGGGACTAGATAGGACTTAAGAGTTTAGTGCTAGAGACGGCAGGACTTAAGTGATCTTTGACGCGACAAGTCTAGAACCTATAGCTGTCACACATCTATAATCTATAGCTGCCACAAGTCTAGAATCAATATATGTAATAGACCTACTCCTGTCGCAAGTCTAGAACCTATAGCCGTATCAAACCACTACCCTATCGTGAACTAACCAACCCGACATGGCGGGCACTAGTAAATTAATTACTAGGGGATGGAGTTATCTGCACCTGCTATCTTGCTCTAAATTCACTTCCCATTAACACAAGAAATATGTACTTTTTATTCAGTTCAGTTGCAATAACTTCATGTTTGATCCTGTGATATTTTAAAATATGTTCATAATTCTGTAACTGACGCCTGCATTAATTTTTTTTTTATTTTATGTTTGCACTATTTGAAAACATGATTTATATTTAAAACTTGTTTATACACACGCATGTTTTCTGCACGTGCTTAGAAAAACCGCTCCAATTCTGTAATCTTTTCGTCATATATTCTCACACACTATCCCAAAGTTCCCCAAAATACACTATCTCCAAAAAAAAAACCTTATCAGGTTCAGAACCGCAACGGTGCTTGAAAAACAGTCGCTCTGTCTCCTGACGTATTTCTCAGCCGAGCTTATCAATAAAAACTTCAGGACGCGGCGAATAAATTTTACCGAATTCCCAAAGGCCGAAATTTGCGCGCCGGCGAACCGCCGCGCTGGTCGGTAGAGTCGAGATAGCAGGGGCCATAACTCCATCTACGCTGCGCCCGCGCAGATTTCTCGCGCATCTCTTGGGATTGAAAGCCGGTGCTGTGAGTGGAACCTCAGGGTGTGGCTCGGCTATACACGACCTCACAAACACAAGAGCGGTGTTGTTGTAGCAAGATGTGAATTAAATAATGATGGGAAACTTTCTATATAAACCTTATTAAAATATACACATTTGTATAATAAATATCCTTTCAAATAAATTATTTTTGTTCGCAATGCATCAAATTGTTGTCGAAAAAACTTGTCTTACAAAAAGTAATTGTAACTTTAGATAACTTTGTAATGTCAATTAATGTATTTACTACAATTTACGTGATGGCAGACGGAGCCATATTAAACTCATCAAGAATCTTTACTGTTGATATGTCTATAAGCTGAGATATAGGACCTTGCATATTACACGGTTGAGACTACGGATAGTCCAAAGGTTAAGTTCACAGAATAAGATATAACTATATAATTTATTTATTTTTAAACTAATAGTATTATTAAACTATTAAACTTAAAATTTAAAACTTAAAATTTTTTTGCCACATACTAAAAAAAGTTAGATTTTAGTAACAGTCAAAGATTAGTTACTGTGATCGAGACTTTACACCTCTTGTAATACCTAGCACCATCTCTCCATTAAAAACGTGCAGTAGGAGGGAATCAGGTGCCAGAAGCCGAGGGCGTCTCAGGGGCGTTACCCCAAGACACTTGACAAAAGATAGCCGCAACCAGAGTGGAAAGGTGAAGATTAGAATGATTAATCGACCGTAAATGGCCTCACACGTGCACCATTGGCACCTGCATGCTGAGTACTTTACGCGTGAAACTATTACTCATTCCGATTTCTTCTTGACACTCAACACGTTTATAGGTTTAACAAGCCTATTTACTCATCAGTACGGGGTTTGGTCACCAAAATATTCGTACACCAAAATATTCGTACACCAAAATGTTCGTACACCAAAATGTTCGTACACCAAAATATTCGTACACCAAAATATTCGTACACCAAAATGTTCGTACACCGAAACGTTCGTACACCGAAACTTTCGTTCAACGAAGTGGAAATCAAACAAACAATACATATACATCAAACACAAACACACAGATATATATATATATATATATATATATATATATATATATATATATATATATATATATATATATATAAAATCACCAGAATATGATGTATGTAACCTTCTGTGGCATGGTTTAACGATAGTTTACCTTTTCCTGTTTTCAGGTGACCTGTCCTTCACCAACCAAAGGTGTCTCAGCCCCCACAACAACCTCAACACACCTGTCGGCTACGGGGCAAGCGCCGGCTGCGGATTAAAAAACTCGAGCTCCGCGCAGTTCCAGAACATTCACCCGGACCCAAAGCCCGGCCCCACATTCCAGTCACACAAGGCTCACCTCGGGGCGGGGGGCCGTGCACCCCTGGGCTCGCGCCCGTCCCACCCCGCGGGATCGTCCTACCCCCACGCGGCTCAACAGTACAACCCAAACATTTTCTCTGACAAAAGCGGAAGCTACCTGAAACTAACCAACGAAGCCAACGGTCGTCCAAACCTCCCAACCAATGGGAGCAGCCGTCTCATGATTTCAGCCAATCGTAGCGGGGAGTACATGGACATGTCGGGTATGCGACCCTACATGGCGCCGAGGCCAGGGTCAGATAACTCTTGCATGGACTCTACCAACAACTGGGATGCGGACACGACCACTTCCGGTAGCTACACGGTCGACCCACAAGAGCTGTGTGAAGAGATCGATAAATTATTTTTCGAACAAATCAAAGACGTTGTAGTGTGAACAAAAATCGATAATATATATATATTTTTTTAAACAATTCAACGATGTCGTAACAAAGATGTTGATATGTTGTTTTCAAACAATAACATTGTGTGTCACGTGACCGGGCACCTCAAAGGTCAACTCCAGTGAGTTTGGACACAGCCGTGTGTCACGAGCTGTTGTGAACTCGATGTGTTAGCTGACGCCCACTAGTACACGGCTCACTAGTTGCGTCATCAGAGCGAATCCACAACGAAAGATAAAATAATTCGTATACCAGAGAATAACATAACACAACCAGGACGAAATAATTTTCAAAATGTTGACAATGGAAACTCACCTAATCATGTTTTGAATTTTGTCTTCGTGACAAATACTGGCAAGTATAAATTCAATTTAGTTGTACAATTTATGCAGTTTAAAATCGAGAGAACCATTCGAAGTTTGGTTCGTTTATACTTGCACAAGAACTGCGCCCATTCTGGTGTGTGGTTTGTATAGTATACATTCAACATTGTATTGTATACTTTCAACCTTCTATTGTATACTTTCATCCGTGCGATGGTCGAGCTAATATTCGTTACTTTACTACCAGTTTTATACTGCTGGCAACTACTGAACAACGCAAGTCATTAACCTTGACATTGATGGTGTTACGGTCACAACCTCCATGAACAACCCATCTCCAAGTCTACCAAACCACAGATAGAAAAAAGAAATCATAAAATTCTTTACGAAATGGCCAATCCCGTACATAACTTAGGCCTACATGATTACATCTGTCATTATTTTGACAATGTATTCTACTGTCTACAAATGTAGGACTTTACAATCAGATAATATGAGTTAAACAATCAAGCCGTTATATTGGGGTATAACGGTTTAGGTCAAAAGAATTATTTTTTATAACCTCCCCCACCTTTCTAAGTATTACAAAACGAAATCTTGTGTTACTGTTAAGGTATTACGATTGTATATAATCACATGGTCACCGTGTAAATATGTATCATACACTTTACCGAAGTAAAAATGAAAATGTCAGTGAAATGCCAATGATAGTATGTATGTAATTGTAAGTATAGCATAGTTTATCTGCTGTTATGAATGGGAATGTATGTATGTAAATATTGAGAAAAATTTGTGTAACTGTATAATCCTTGCTGGATAGGAGCGTGGCTGTATAATTCATTGGATAATGCGTATAAATTAACAATCCATTGAATTCTGAGTTGTCTCATGTGAAATTATTTAAGAACATGTCTTGTTCTTGCAATAGATTGTAAAATGTCTATACCACTACGACCTGTTCGCTCAAATGAAATTATTTATTGTGAGAATGACTTTGGTAGCTGTCTGTGTTGTATAATACCTCCCCCCCCCCCCCACCCCCGGGCCCATCTTTTTATCTGCCCAGTTAGGAACTTAGATATCTGCCCAAACCATTGTAAGCTGTTAAACCTTCGGGTTTAAGTTTCAAATATTTTTTTTATTTGTTGAACCTTTGTTTCGTTAGATTCAGTTTACATATTTTACTTAGTGGAAACGTATTTATGTTTATTTTAACCATGGAGTAGTTAAATTATTATTTCTAAACTTAAACTCATTAAGCCCTGGAACTACAACATTAATGAACTTATGTAGTTGTCGGCATTACATTATTTATAATGTCCTTCACTTTGGATTAAAAGGGCTTGGGTTGTAAAAAGTTGAAATAGTGAGAGAAAATTATTTTTTTTAGATTCTTACAATATCTATGTCATACTTGAAACGGATATTCTAGCTTTGAAAGATATCAAGTCTGAACAATGATGTGAGATGGTGAAAGTGTTAACAATGATGTGAGATGGTTGGCAGTGTGACAGATGATGTAATATGAATGAAAGTATAAAAGATGACCCGAGGGCGATAAAGTGTGAATAATTTTGTGAGATAATTTAAACTGTGAACTTGGTTAACTCAGATGCAATAAAAATGGAATATGGGAATGTTATATGGGAATGTTATATTAAAATATGTTAATGATGTTGCACCCAGCTAAAAATAGTTTTGGCTGAAATCTTTTTATAATTCATGTGTGTCGGTTATTTTTTTTTTATAATATGTCATTTCACAATGTGTACCTATGTCAAATTTGTTTACTAAATAAAGAAACTGAAAGATAGGCCTGCTTGTGTTATTAAGAATTCCAAGGTAGTTCATTGTTAAAACTAGACATACGTATAATACTTATAGTCTATACTTCTAGAAACCTTTACATATTAACCCTAAACATAACCAGTTAATAAAACTGCTGTTAATTGTAAAACTTGTTAAGTTAAGCGTTTGGATCAAGGTTTTCCGGAGTTTCGTCTAAAACATTCACATTTCAACGTTGTTTTTTAAAGTGACAGCATGCAATCCCCCCAATCATACCCCGGAGTAAGGGGTCATTTATGTGATTCATTAAATGGACAGAAGATCTTGCTTATCTAAAGATGTAATGTTTGAGATAACCTAGTTCATATACTTGAGCCTTTCTTAGATAGAAAATGCACACTTGAGATTAAGATCAGCACGTTGAATTCAAATCAGTTGACTTCCTGCATGATGCAGCCACTTAGATCCTCTCTAATGGGATCAAGACCCCAGCTCAGCTAATCCATTGGCTTTCACGGACGGGCGTTGGAGAGGAAGCGCCGTCTAATGGTGTCCAGAGAGGTATGACCATTCTATACAGTCGCTGCTGACCAGTGGTCAAGTCTCGCGCGGACCCCCGCGACGATGGACCGGAAGTGGTGTTGACCAAGATAATATTAGCCCGCGCTCCCTGTCCCCATTTTGTGGATTGGGAGGGGGAGGGGGAGCCGGACACTTTTGAAAAAGAAATTATGCAAGAATTAGTTGCTGACGTGCCTGGCATAAATACCTCAAGTGGTTGGCGTTGTGGGGGTGTGTGGGGGTGTGTGGGGGTATGTGTGCCAGCTTTGAGTGGGTGTGATGGGCGATACACAGTGGACAGTGGTCAAAGAAATTTTAGTCCACGGCGGCCGAGTAATCTTAAGTTAAACGTCTACATTCTCTCCCGAACACCTCGCTCAAGAGGCCCCGAATGTATCCTGCACTAAGGCACATTATATAAAGTACTAGACCAGTTCCCTATACGTGTCATTGTATTAAACTACATAGTGGTAAAACCAGTGGCGTAGCAGGGTCGGGTGTCACCCGGTGCGGCACTTAATGGTGTCACCCCCCCCCCAGAGGCGTTGCGACCCTTCCCGTGGACAAACTTTTAAGTTTTCGATTTGCACCCCCCCCCCTCAAACTTTCGATTTGCACCCCCCCCCCCTCAAACTTTCGATTTGCACCCCCCTCAAGTTTTTCTCTATATATTTTGCTATTTTTGCCTTGGTGTCACCCCCCTAAATGGTGTCACCTGGTGCGGTCCGCACCCCCCCCCCGCCCCCCCCCCCCCCCTCGCTACTACGCCCCTGGGTAAAACATTAAGGATGATGGTGTAGGAGAGACGAGGTTAAGGCTATGCTGCATGTGTCGGTTCTATAACCCTAAGCTTAAACCTTAACCTGCTTTAACCTCTTCACTAAACACTAACTCTCACTAACACATATACTTCTATCCCTGACAGTAACTTTAACCCAAATTAATATAGAAAGAAAAATACAATACGATAAAATATAATCTTGACGGCATTTTTAATAAAAACTAACAAAACGTACAAGACATACAAAAGGGTTGAGTTAAAAGTATTTTCAACTACTGAATGATAAGCTTCCTCACAGCGTCACGTAAAGACGGAGGGGTCATCGGTGTCTTGACATCAGTCGCTCAGGGGTCAACCCCCACTGGGCCGTCAATCGCTTTGATTAATTAGTTAGTAATGATATCAGGAATCTGTGAGTCACAGTATCGGTGTTTGAGCTTGCTTGAATCATCGAAAATTTTACTATAAGATCTATCAAATATGTCGACTTGAATCATCAAATTTTTTACTATACGATCTAGCAAATATGTCGACTTGAATCATCAAAAATTTTACTATACGATCTATCAAATATGTCGACTTGAATCATCAAATTTTTTACTATACGATCTAGCAAATATGTCGACTTGAATCATCAAAAATTTCACTACATGGTCTATCAAATATTCCGACTGCGTAAAACATGCGTAAAACTCATTTTAAATATGTTTTATCTTATTAAGCTTAGAAAATGAAAGTTTCGATTATAGACCATTATCAGATAAACCTATATTTTATTCTACTGTTTTTGCTTAGAAAAATGTAGAATGTTTGAATGTCTCTTCAACTTGTGTAATTTAAGCGTGGCAACACAATGGAAACAATATGTCAAAGCAACTTTTAAGGAAAACTAGTTCGAAATAAGGTAATCGACTGATTTAAAAACAAATCTTTATTTTAAAAAACAATACTCAAAACCTGAAAAAAATTGCCCAATTTATGTTAGTATGAGAAACTGAGACAGTAAATTGTTGAGTAGTAGGAAAAGTAAAGTTTCGGAATGATTCACTCTGCCCTTAACTTGGCCGAAATTGGGAAAAAAGTTATTGTCTGAGTTCAACAATAGCATTTCACGCAGATATAGTAAATTTAGTGTAATGAATCCACGTTGGAATAAGATGCAAATACCAGCACTAGCTTTTAATCTGAACTCGAGTCTCCGCATTTTAATACAATTCTACTTTATTTAAAGAAAAAACAAAAACTATTCAGTTCGGCGTCATTTCAATGTTAAAGAAGAAAAAAACCTTCACAATTAAAATTACTTCATTTTTAATTGTATAACACGCCCATTTATAAACACAACCCCACCCTTTACCCTTCCTTAAATCCCTCCCGCTCCTAAAGTAGTATTTTCATCCCCTCTCTATAAAGCCACTATTCCCCTCCCTCCCCCTCTTCCCCGGTCAACCTACCCGGTCTTTTGACCGCCACCGGTCATTGTGGCCAATGTTTGCCGGATCAAATATTTACCCAGCACACGATGCCACTCCAAGTGCCCTCGACGACCGTGCCCGGGCATTTTGAGAACCGCCGTGACCATTGTGTGCCCTGCGCGTGAGTATCAATACCCCACTGCTCATTTGAAACACTGGGGGAAGGGGGCGTGTCCCTACCAGATAAACTCCAGGCCATTTACTTCAACGTGCCTAATTCAACATTCTTGAGCACTATCCCCCCCCCCCTCTCACTCCCGCCCTTCCCCCGACACCCAACCTTGATCAGTTAGTTATGTGGGGAACTAATTTAATTTGCCATTAACTCGCATAAAAATCGAGTTATGGTAACAGTTTTAGTATCTAAATTATGGACGCTGAAGCTTTTTATTAAGAAATCCATCGTTTCTCTCACTAATTTCTATTTTTCTCTGTTTAGTTATCTCTTTCTTCATCTTCCATTCCGTCAAGCTATGGGATTTGTCATACAAGAAACATGATGGATTGTAAACCTGCTGATGAGGGTCGCCGAAGTTCATGATACGAAATTATAAGTAAACAGACTTATAAAAAGCTTCACTTTACAATAGTTCTACATATAGTTGTCCTATATAAATTAACTGTCCGGGATTATCAATTGTAATTAGATACCCTAATGTAATTATTTTCCCAACATGGATTATACGATTACTTCTATATCACATTTTCATGGCTGTTCAAATATGAATAGTGGTTGACCTCAGTGGTTGTCATTGACTTGACTGTCCTATATAGCTGTCACGTGATATCCTATCAAGAATCGTTAGTTAACACAGCAAAATTAGCTTTCCTCCATCATTGTCGGTCAACGGTTTAGTTTCAGTCTGTAACTTTTCTTTGATGTTTTGACGGCTTTGACGCCGCCGTACTGTTTTATACGCTTAGATTGTCCTCTACTATGTCCTCCACTCTGTCCTCTACTCTGTCCTCTACTATGTCCTCTAGTGTCCTACTTTTAGGTCTTTGTTCTTCTCATACGTCATATATGCTTCCTCTCATAGTCATGAATTTCCTTTATTAAGTCTTTGTTTTTTATACAGTTCTAGCTTTCTTCACTTGAAGGTCTTAGAGATATTCCACCGCAAGTCTTTGATGCTGTTTTCTGAAGGTCTTTACTTGTCTGTATTTACATGAACATTTTAGCTAGCTGTCCACATCTGAAGGCTTTTAACTTGTTATTTTTAAAGGTTTTAGCTAGCTGTTTCCATCTGAATGTCTTTAGCTAATTATCATAACTAAAAGATAG